GATGTATTCTCAAAATTAAGATAATAATTGTCAATAAACATGGCATGTATATATATATATATATATTTCACGTACATACAAAAATGAAATTAAAAATAAAAGTACAGTAAGCACTATATTATTCCTTAATATTGATTATATACAAATTTGAAGTCGTTAAATATAATAGACGCCGAAATGATGTTGAAGTAAATCAAGTATTAACGAAGCTTCATATTATATTTATGTGTATGTATCACTTAAAACCGCTGACAATTAAACTAATAAAATAAAAATAATATACAAACAAGTATATACATGGTAATGATCGAGAGAAAAAACACTATTAATACACTATATATGTGGTTATGTTTCCGATTTAAAATATATAAAAATGCGATATGTTCGTATAAATGTGAAATTGAAAAAGACAAAAGGTCTTACGTTATGTTCGAAAAAAAAAAAACAGACAAAAGGTCTTACGTTTGAATAAAAAAAAGACAAAAAGGTCTTACGTTCAAATAAAAAAAAAACAAGGTCTTACGTTCAAATAAAAAAAAAAGGAAAAAAAGGGAATAATGGACAATGTCTTAAGAGATGTGTCGCACTGAAACCACTAAAAAGTTAAATAGTAACTTAAAAAGTAACATCGTATAACATGCGTATAACATCGGTTTAACATAAAGACAACATATTTACAAATAGCACAATTTACGAATTGACAAAATATATTCTTTGGCTGTACTTGTACATATCAATTCGTATATTTACACACTTACTCAAGAAAAAAAAACAAAATAAAATAAGTAAGTAAAATAAAAATAAATTAGAATAAAATAAAAAATAATAAAAATGTTTACAATAATGCCATCTTGCAATTATATTAATAATATTTACAAATTTGCCTGGCTTGATGATTGTTTGTTACATTGATGTCCAAGGGCTATCACGCTACAATAAATTGTTAAATAAAAGATCCGAGCTCATCCCAAAATGCAGACATGAAAAAAAAATTTTTACTACATTACTTAAAAATCAAAAACTGAAAAAAAAACAAATAACTAGATAAATAAAAAAATAAATAAATAAATAAACAAAATGACAATAAAAGAAGCAAAATAAATTAACCCAAACAAATTACCAAATTACACCCGTTAGAATAGGTGAAATAGAATAAATAAATAAAAAATAAAAAACAAAATCAATGAACCCAAATAAATAAAGTAAACAATAAACAAATTAACAAACCATTATGACCAAAATATTAGTTAGACTATAAAAATAAAACCAAAAAGCGGATGAAAAAAATAGCTATAACTGTTAATATAACGATAAAAGAAAAATAAATACTATGTTACTTAAAAATCGGAAACCAAAAAGTGTAAATAAAAATATACAGTATAATAAATAAATAATAAAAAACAAGTACAATAAATTAATCTAAATTCATCCAAATAAATAAATAAACAAACTAACAAACTGATCCCGATAAACTAACCGTTAGAAAAAACAAATAAAGATAATCAATCCAAATAAATACGTAAAGTAATAAACAAATTAAAAACTGCTTCCACCAAAATAATAGTTAGAATAAACTACAACAATCAATCCCAAAATTGAATAAATAGCTTTAATTATCTTCCCAAACCAAAACAAAACTATTAAATAAGTAATTTTTACTACGTTAATAAAAACACCGACTAATAAAAATAAATAAATATATAAGATAAGAAATACAAAAATAAAAAATAAAAATAAAAAATGAAAATAAATAAAAGCTAGCAAAACAATTTAACCCAAATAAATAAATAAACAAATAAACGACTTCTGGTAAAATAACCGCCAAAATAGACTACCCACAATGCACCACTGACCCGTATATATAAATAGCCAAGAAAAATAACAGCACTCGTGGCCTGACGATTACATCTAGCATGAGTGTTGACTTCTATGTTCACTTTTATATTTATACACGCTCTATCTCTGATATTGAGCACTTTATCCCATAAATATAGCACATCTTAAGACTATATTTCTTCATATATATATATATATATATATATATATATATATACATATTAAAAAGGTTTAAATAGATATGTAATATGGTGGATAAATAGATCTATATGAACGGTTTGATATATATATATATATATATATATATATATATATATTTATATATCAAAAGATTTAAATAGATATGAACTATGGTGGATAAATAGATCAATATGAATGGTTGCAGATATATATATTTATATCAAAAGGTTCAAATAGATATGAACTATGGCTGATAAATAAATCTATATGAATGGTTGTGTATATATATATATCCAAATATACCAAAAGGTTTAAATAGTTATTTACTATGGCATATAAATAGATCTGTATGAACGTTTGCAAATAAATATATAAAAAGAAAGTATAAACATAAAAAATGTCTTAATATATATATATATATATATATATATATATTTATATCAATGGATAAATAGATCTATATGAATTTTGCATATATATATATATATATATATATATATATATATATATATATATATATATATATATATTTATATATATATATATATATATATCAAAAGTTTTAAATAGATATGTACTATGGTGGATAAATAGATCGATATGAACATTTGCATATATATATATATATATATATATATATATATATATATATATTTATATCACAAAGTTTTAAATAGATATGATAGATTGATATGAATGGTTGTGGATATATATCAGCAGGCTTAGATAGATATTTACTAATGTAAACAAATTGATCAATATGAACAAGCTTAGATTGATAGCTTTTCTTTACTTACTCATGCCTACATGTACACACACACATACACATACATGCACACACACATACACAGACACACACGCGCACACATATGCAGGATGTTCTTAGATATATTCCTCTTCCTGCAAACATTTTTTTTGAATTGTTGATAGTTTTTCTCATAAATTTTTCCCCTATTTTTATTGATTATTCTTATATTTCCCCATAATGAATCTTTCCAGAATATTCTATTGCTGAAAGAAATAATAAAGTATTCAATAAAAATTATTAAAAGAATAAATAAATCTTTTTATTTATTTTCTTTGCTTACAAAATCATATTTTATTACTGTTTTGTAATTTTACACATTTGTTTACAAATTTATAAATTATTATTAAAATATGTTTTTTTTTAGTTTGGTCATTTAAACTTTATAAAACATACTTTTTTTCTTTGTTCTAATTCTAATCTAGACATGAATTCTTACTCAGTAAATTTCAGATAAAATAAATAAAAAAATCACTGAAAATCATTTTTTCCCTCTAGAGATTCAAACAAACAAAATCTATTGATGTCTTTAAATTTGTATTCACAATTTTTTTCTTTAAACTTCTTGTCTTATAACACAGTTATTTATAAATGACTCAATATTTGAGGAGGTCAACTTTTGAAAACCCCAGTTCCTTTGACTGTTCTCAGAAAAATGCCTATCCCAAATCCAGAAAATAATTTTGTAAGGCAAGGTATGTATAATGAGTGAACAAACAAATGATTAACAATAGTGCTTGATAATAAAAGGATACGAGAGTTCCCCCAAGAAACTATTAAAATTGAAATCATCAGAATCAATACAAAAAGTAAGAAGAAACTAGGATAATTACCTTTTGTTAAATTTCATTGCATAAAGAATTCTTAAACATTTGAATAAAAATAGAATTTTTTCAGAGGACAATAAAAAAAGCATTGAACATAATTCTGTTATTGAGGCTATCAATTGCAGCAAGAATAGAAGAGTATGTAGTTTGTTGATGTGCTTCCTTAAATATATAAGTAATCAATTTCTTATTTGAAAAGAAATTTAGCAAATAAAGCTTTGCCAAATTTGTAGCTGCCTTATACAACAGGGAAAACTGAATCAAATTTCTGGTACACCATATTCTTTCATTTAACTTCCTTTTTCTTCCTATTTTGATTAATTCTTGAACATTTCTACTTATTATTCTCCTTCGACAATAGGTTATCAAGTGATTACTCAATGGTTAATCATTCGGATGCTGATTGCAAGATTTATAATTCAATATCAAATATATTAAGTTGAGTCATAAATAATTTAATAGATTTTGTTTATCAACTTTATTTTTAAAAATATAAAGTACAGTTACAATTTATTCAATTATTTATTTGCTATTATTTGCAAGAACTTCTTGTCAATTATCAGGCAGCTCTTTGATAACTTTTGAGTAAAATTCTGCAGGTTTTGAGGTAAAAAAGTTTTCTATGAATTCTTGAATTTTGTTTTCATTGGTGAAAGTTTTCCCCATGCAGCAATCAAAATAGGTAATAATCAGTTCACACAAGGTCAGGGGAATATGGTGAGTTCCAAAATATGGTGAGTTCCAAATTTTTTTCCTGTTATTCTTTCTGTTTGCAGTTTTGTGTTGTTATGGAGGAGAACAACATTTTTCCTATTGATGAGCACAAAAACTTTTATGGACATGTTGCAGCTGCTGAACATATAAATGTACATTTAGTATTTCATTGTATTTTAAGATCTCTAAATGAATAATACCCCAATTATCCCACAACATTCACAATATTATCTTTCTTCCATGGTGCTCAGATTTTGCGGTTGCTTGTGGAGAATTATCCTTGTCAATCCACTGAATTGAACATATGTAGCCCATTTTTCTTCACCTATTAGACATATTTAAGGAATGGTTAGTTAGGATGATACATTCATCATCATAAATGGTTCCAAAAAATGGTAATTACCTAATAATTGTAATTCAAAGAATTGCACAGACTATTAAACTCATTCTGTATTTTGCTTTTGCTACAATGTTTTGACCAAGAAGTTCTACAGCCTTCTTCAGATGTATAATCTAAAAGAAAAGAAGTGTTTTCTTTTTTAAGAAAATGTAAGTATTAATCTGTCTGCCTATTTAACGCAGGAACCCACTCATGTGCATGATGGTTGCTCAGTTCCATCAACTGTTCATATCCCATCATGTGCAATGTGGTAGTGCTAACAGAGGTAAGGAGGAACAAACACTTTGCCCTATATTTTACTCATCAGTTTGGCTCATTCCCAGCATCTGAGCCACACACACAATTTCATTCACTGCAATCCATGTAACACATGTGATTAAACAGTCTAGAAAAAAGTAAATGCTATCTATATAGTACAATCTGAGTAATATATTCATTTTACTATTTACATTATTTGGACTATTGTCTTCATCTTTGTTGCCATGTTTATCACAATGTCGAATGCTGAACTGAACCCTTTATTTTGCTCACTGGGGTAGACTGTCTAATAGATGTCAGTTATCAGTCCTGTTAATTCCCCTCTCCAAGTTCTCCACCACCTTAACCAGGTATTGAACTCATACTCTTTGGGTCCTGCCACTGGATCTAACTAACACCTTTATCCACTATGCCATGTGTCCTTGAGGACATCTGTGTATGAATTTCTGGGTATTATAAACCTAATGTCTTCAGCAACCTTTTTATCCAGTGCTCATATTGCAATTTTTTTTTTTATCATTGCTTTTCTCTTTTTTACCAGTGCTTATATTGCAATTTTTGTTGTTATTATTGCTTTTCTCTGGCACTCCTTATTACTGGTTCCCATATTGTATTAATTTCTATGCTTGGTCAGCTCAGGAGATTTTTGTGGCCTAGCATATGCACTGATTCCTTAAGTTTACAAATTTTCCAATGATGTTCTTTGTCTATAATCTCAACTTGATCCCAAAGAGCGTGGCGATCTCCCTTTTCTCTCCATATGAGGTCAGCCACGCTTGATTTTTCCACTTCCCCTCATGTTACAGCTTTCTGGTGTTCTTGAATCCTTACCTTAAGAGGGCAACTTGTCTCCCCTTTATATTTCTTTCTGCAGCTGCACGGGATGATGTACACACAGTCTTTAGTCATGTTCTCCTCTATATATAGTGTACATAATACCTCATCTCAGAAATATAGACAGATATTCATTTTAGCATGAGAAGTCTCTAGACTTATCAAAATCCTTGACCCAAAGAAAGATATTGACCCAGACAAAATTCCAATGGTTGTCCTTAAGAATACCAACCCAGAATTATCCTAGCAATGTTATTCAACTGCTGCTTTGAAGGAGAAATCTCTCTCAAGTCTGTGGTAGGAGACAAGCATATGCCTGGTCTTCAAGAACATGGGTGATTGATCCATCCCCCTACCACTATAGACCCATCAGACTCCTAAGTATCATCAGTAAGCTTTTTGAGGCTTTAATAAACAAGAAATTGTGACAAGCAGTATGGGTTTTGATCAGTCTGATCCATTGCTGACATCCTAACTACCATTACACACAGACTTAGTGAGGCTCTTGACAACACACACACTTCAAGAACCATAGCATTAGATATCTCAAAGGGCTTTGACAAGGTGGCATGACACAAAGGTTTGCAACACAAGCTCTCCAACTATGGAATCACTGGAAGGTTTTTCTCTGTTATAAAATCCTTCCTTGAAGTTAGTTATTAATTGCCACTCCTCTGAGGATCTGGCAGTCAAAGCAGATACCCTCCATAAGTCACTTCTCAAACCAACCCTCTTTCTGAATTACATATATGATCTACCTAAGAATATTCTCAGATCATTTGAAAACATCTATGCTGATGATACAACGATATATAGGCACATCTAAAAATCTTGACATTCAGAGATTGGCAGTGGACCTCTCTTTTGATCTAGCACTAACTTCACAGTTGGGGAAAAACTGGCTCGAAAACCAAACTAGTTACATTCCATCACCACCAATCATACCCCAAACTACCACCAGTCACAATGAACTGATGTCCCCTTAAGGTGGCACTGTGCCTTGAGAGAATGTTGGGTCTCAAACTGACACCCAACCTCAAGTGGAACTCTTATATACAATCCATCACTAAAGATGCAGGTAAAATGATCGGCTCCCAGTACCTGATTCCTTATGCTATCCTCTACCTTTACAAGAGCCAAATCAGGCTGAAAATGGAGTACTGTTGTCATAATTGGGTGGGTACTGTCCAGTCCTCTCTTTCCAATCTTGATAGAAGTCAAAAGTCCAAGTTCTTGTAAGAGAAAAATTATTTTCCACCCTCCACCTTCTCTCTCACAGCTTGGATGTAGCAAGCCACTCATTACTCTATCACTACTGCCATGAAAAAGTATTCAGATGAACTACATTCTTTGGTTTCACCAGGTCTAACCTTCATGGCTGCTATGCCACTTACATTGTAGCAACCTACCCACATTCTTTCCATATTCCATCAGTGAGAAGTAAGTTCCACTCAAACAGATTCTACCTGCAAGCCACTGCTCTGTGGAACAGACACCCAAGAAGATGTTTCCCTAATCATTATAATCTTAACCTGTTCAAGTCTAGAGTTAACCATTATCTTCCTCTCCTATCTATATAAACTACCCCTTAACATAATCCAAGTGGCCCCCAGATATTGTACAGGGTGAACCTTACTATAAAAAAAAGAAAAAAAAAGTAACTTTTTATGGTGGCATGTTATCTTTTTTTTGCAAGATAGTAGCATCTTCTTGTATAAACAAAAAAAAATGTGCATATTTATTTTGATGTTATGACAACTAGTAAATGTTTGCATAAAATTTTGTCTTATATGTTGATCCATTATTGACATTCAAACTAATGTCTTCATGTTTGTTATTATTATCACAATGTTTCGACCCTTGTATCCTCTGGCCTTCTTCAGGTGTTTGTCAATCTGGGTAACCCTCCGGGAGTTGCAAACTGAACCGTTTACTTAATCTATAGGGCTAGATTGTTCTTGTTTCACTGTCAATGTCTAAGGATACCTTGACTTGTTTCTGTTTAGGTTTAGTACTGATTAGTTATTGTTTGTTCTGTTTCCACTGAATCGAAATCTGTACTACCTAGCTCAGGGATTGAACTCACAATTATTATATCATCAAATTCATTAAGCAACATTTTAATTTGCTAGACTGTTTCCTGTAAGTAATTGTAATAATGACAATGACAATGAGGATATTAATCTGAATGTAAATAATGATAACTCTTCATCCCATAAATTTAGACAAAAATATAGATCTATGTTTTAAGATATTCTAAACTCATTTAGATTATGAAGATATTTTAATCTGTTTTTATACATCTTTATTATGTTTATTAGACATTCTTTTATATATACTTGTTGAGGTGTTTGAAAATGAAACTTTTAAAAACACACAATGAAGAGATTCATTTTCAATAGTTACAATGTTGGTAGCTTACTTTTTAAAATAAACTTTCTGACTTTACTATCTTCAAGACTAATATTTTTGAAAGGTTTATTGGAATTATAAATTAGATAAATGAGTTAGAAATTATATCAATGGCACTTGGTGCCTGCAAGCTATTCAGGAGTGAAACTTCACAAATGTCAGTCATCAGCTTTTGTTGGACTTAAACATGCAAATATAGCATTGAACTTTGGCCCATGATCCTTTTTGAAATGGCATGAAACTAATATTAAGTGAACAATTTTATTTGCAAGAAAATAATTTATGAATACTGAAATAAAAATATTTAATTATTTAAGAAAATATTTTTTTAAATATTTAAAATTTTATTTTTTGTGGTTATCATTCTATATTTAAACCATGTTATTTTTGCCACTTTTTTTCACGAAAAGTTGGTCAGACAGGAAGTGCTTGATGAAAACATATGAGTCAGTGCTATGATCACAGAACACAGTTTACAGACTAAATTATAAACAGAATAAAAAGCAAGGCAATAAAAGATAAAAAATACTTCCTCCACCCCACACAAAACAAACTATTTATACTATAATTCTGCTTGTTTATATGTACAAACATTATACTTTTCTGCATAGAATGGTCCCCCCCCCCCATCGTTGGTCTTTCTGAGTTGGAATCAGTTAGACATTCTACTGAAAAGCCTTAATGATATTAAGTAGGGAAGAAAGTAGAAAAAACAACCAGGGGTGGGGAAGGAGTAGGGTAAAAAGAATGTATTAAAGAAGAAAGACAGAAAAAAAAAGTGATATGAGTACCAGGTGAAAAGAAAAATGTGTATATCCATGTTTAGAGATCGGGAAAAGACAAAACTGAAAAAACACAGAGAGATGAGGACAGCTTGCTGAATATCAAGAGAAGATAAACTAATGATTGAAAGGCAGTGAGAAATGGAAAGGTGTAAAATTTATAATACATTAAATTTTTTTATGGAGCAAAAGATTTGTCAGGTCACTGGCACTAGCTACTGGCACTATCTATCCCAATACTACCTGGCATATGGTTGATTCATTCGTGACTAAATCTGTTCCCTTACCAGGCTTTTCTGGTAAAGAGTGGGTGGTTGGATGATTCATTTTCTATGACTTATCAACCCTTTGCAGGCTATTTAAAGCCAGAAAATATGCGGGGGGGGGGAGATAATTATGGTTTAGTGATACAAGTCTAACTAATTAACCCATATCTAGGGAGAGAAGAGATGGATTCATACTTTTCCCAAGGCTATTTGTGAATAAGTGAATATAATGAACCTAACAGGAATTGGAACTCAACTCTCTGATTAACAATTCTAAAAGCCATTATCCATTACACCACCCACACATCCAAGCTTACAACACCTAGTATTCCCAAGCGGTTACCAATCTAGGTACTAACCAGGCTTGATATTGCTTAACTTTGGTGATCATTTTCTGGTGAGGAAGGCAGACACTCAGCAGGATTAAAAACAAAACCTGTTACAGGTTAAATGAACCTTCTTGTAGAACCAACAATCATTTAGACTGAGCTCTATAGCTATATACGCAACCAATGTGGTGATATGACATTGCTGCACAGAGGGCTTGCCAGACTGAAGTCAACAGCCTCCCTGATGGAACCAATGGCCATCGTTTGACTCATAGGAACCAACTGAAGAACTGACCATTGTCATTATTCTATGAAGTGACATCATTAAGTGGCCATCACATGACCCACATGACTTCATCTCAACCAAAAGGAGATAATCACCTTTTGTATCTTTACACAGTGATTAGATAGAAGTGCATGTAACATAGTGGTAATTAGCATGGAAAGTGAGATTGGTGCTTCATTCCAGCCAGTATTGTTGCATTCACTTTCACACAAATACCCTTGGATAAAGTAAGAATTCCTCTATTTTCTCTCCAACTGTAGGTTAGTAGCAGGGCAAACTGGCAACCACTCACGAAGCATGAGAGCTCTGAATTCAAAACTGGTTGCATGCACGACAAGTAACTCCATCTCATAAAAACCTACTAGCTATGGAAACCACCACAGCAACACCTAATGTGGTGAGGCTCCATAATGGACTCTACAGGGTGAACATACATACAGTAATTAGATGCCAGACTACCATACCAGTAAATTGGTATGTTAGGTTTAACAGGTTAAAGGATAAAGCAAACAAATATATATCAAATTGTTTTTTTATGATAAACAGGTCGGAAATTTTTTAAAAGAACAGTTTTTATCCACCATAGACTGGCTGATGAGGTTCAATGAGAAGAAAGAAAAATGAATTTCATGCAATGGTTTTAATGTCAATGAAGGCATTTTAATGTAAATAATTGGGTATCTCTTAGATTAGATTTGATTCAAATATTGCAATATTATCTTGAATTTTTTAGTCAAAAGAAACACTACCAATCATTAATAATTTTATTGTTTTTTCGTTTTTTACTATATTTAATGACATATAAGATCCCCCTTTTTAATTCTTAAAATGGCTAAAATATATCTCCTGGGTTTTATATAAGAAGTTCAGGTATCTTGTAGGTTAGTGTTTACTTAGACTCGATAGGCTAACAGTACTTGATGTAGTCTAACTATATAATACTATAATATTAAATGTAAACAGTGCTGTCTTATATGTCTTTAAATAGGGTAATTTTAGTTGCTTCTTATTAATTAGCAGTGTGGATAAGAAATAAAGAATAAGCTCTCAATAAAACTTGAAACCACATCCATTTTACTCTGGGAAGCCTATTTTTTTCCATATCACTTGCTCTATTCATTGAGTTTATTCATGATTTCAAATTGACACTGATGGTCATTGACTGACAGTCTGTATAGTTGTAATGAAAAGCAACTGAAATAAAGTGAAAGAAATTATCATCAGAGTTATTTCAGCTTGAAAGCATACTGTAATTTCTCATCTTCAGCCTGACTGCTCATTTCCAAACATGCCCATCTGATCAGGCCCATTTGTGTTTCTTCAACACCCACAGAACTCACCTGTGGTTTATACTGCAACTATGCTGAGCTGACCTTAGTTATGTGGTTAGGGCCACATACAGTTTTGAATTCAAAATTATCCTTCTCCTACAATGATTGCCAGCCATGGCTAGAGAGTCCAGTCTAACCTACTATTTAACTCATAGCTGAGAGAAGAATAGATGGATTCATACATTTTCCAAGGGTATTTGCATGAAAATAATGCAACGATCTCAACCAGAATTTGAACTTGGCTCACTAATTTTTGATTCTGAGCCATTCTAACCATTGCTCCACATGTGAAGGAAAAATTAACAATGATTCACAGATTCCTGAAAAAGAATTTTTTGTCTTTGCCTGTCAAAATATAAAATATGTTGTTGTAAGAAAATCTAGACTGATACAGAAAACTGCTACTAATAAATGATCATTTTTATAATTGTTTTAAAATTGTAATTATCACTTCATTAAAATTCTTTTTACCAAAGCTGAACACAAAATGATATTTAAAATGAGGGACATTCTACTCAAGGTATTGCTATTCAAATTTAAAAATTTGTAACCTTTTAGATATTGAATTCAACACTGAGCATCTAGATCCACGTTGTTATACCTTAATCCTGTAGTTGCTGTATTTGTGCTTTAAATCTTACTTCTTGAATATTCTCCCCCCCCCCCCCACCACCACACTTTTTTAAAGCAGGCAAATTGTATTTGTAAAGCTCCGATCAATGTGAATGTTGCCACCCACATGAAAATGGCATCAAACATGTTATCACAAGTCACAATTGTACTCAGCAGTTTGAAAAGATGATATGATTCATGCACTGTTTTGTAAAGAATTTAATTTGGCTTAAGCTAAAGTTAAGAAATTTTAGAGATTCTGAGGAAAATTCCATAATAATGATTTATATAATCTGAGAAAATATAAACAAAATATATATTATACATAGATATATATCTAACCAATTCATATATTATCTGAGTATATGTATGCATATATAAGTGTAAGAAGATGTGTGTGCATAAAAAGTAGTGATATGATCATGACATTTCAACATAGCTGAACCAACACTGATTAAAATTGAGTAGATAATGACTTTAGAAGCATTAATAGCAAATATCAAAATACAAAAGACATACGTTTGTATTCATACACATCACACATAACTATTATTATTACTGCAAGTATTCAATATTATATATATATATATATATATATATATATATATATATATATATTAAATATGAATCTCTCTCTCAATCAGTTCATATCTATCAATGTTCTTATCTATCAATATGTCACTCTCAATCTGTTTATATCTATCTATCTCTGTTGCAATCTATCTATTGATCACAGTCAGTTCATTATCTATCTTAATATGTTCATATCTATCTCTCTACCTATCTTAATCTGTGCATATCTATCTATCTATCTATCTATCTATCTATCTATGTCCTTATCTCTCTCTCTCTATTGTAATCTGTGTATATCTATCTCAATATGTTCATATTTCTCTATCTTAATCTGGGCATATATATCTCAATACATTCATATATCTTTATCTATCTTAATCTGTACATCTATCTATATATCTAATTATCTATTGCACTCTATTCTACATGTATTTATGTATATACAAAAAAAGTAATATTTACATTAATAGCAATAATACTCAATTCATCTTCTCATATTCAAAGAAAACCAAAATAATTCAAGTGGTTTTCAAAAAAAGGCAACCATACATACCTATTAATCTCTCTCTCACTCATTTTCTCTCTCTCTCTCTCTCTATATATATATATATATATATATATATGTATGTATGTATGTATATGTGTATGTGTGTGTGTGTGTGTGTGTATATATATATATATATATATATATATATATATAAAAGAAATATAATGTAGTGGTTCCAACGAGAGAAAAGTATGTATATTAAAAAGAAGAGAAGAGAGGTGTCGCAAACGTTTTTGGTTGTAATGTGGACTTATTTAGAAAAAATATTATGCTTTGTTTTCCATAATTTTACTACATGAGTTTCTGGTCTTGCGACCGTCTTCAGGTAAAACCGGAACTAAATAGATCATAACCCCACACACAAAAAACACACAACATACACACAAGGTGACTAAATATGTATGTGCGCTGATGTATGTGAGTGATCAAATCACTCACATACATCAGCGCACGCTCATATACGGGAGACACGAGGAGATATATATATGTATGCACACATTTATATATATATATATTATATATATCGCATGTTGACAAAACAGGGGAACTACTCACGAGCATGCACCCAAACCCCACACAACTTAGGAAGTACGTGTGTGTGTATGTACATATGTGTGTGTATGTATGTGTGTATGTGCATGTGTATACTGGTTCCATGTAGCTTGGGAAGTATGTGTGTGTGTGTGTGTGTGTGTGTGTGTGTGTGTGTGTGTGTGTGTATGTGTGTGTATGAACTGATTCCTTGTGGTGGGATGGTGTGTATGTGCGTATGTGTGTGTATGCGTGTATATGTACAAATGAGTTTACTAATTCCTCGTAGTAAGACAGTATATGTATGGAGGAAGAATATACGCACGCATATATACACGCATGCTGACAGAAACACACAAAAATGGAAACAGATCCAACAACACATAGGGGTCAGAAAAACATTAAAAGATAAAATGCTGATAAGTAATTCATTATTTCCCTTGGACCAACCTTAATTGTTTTATGACCCTTCGCGCAGAACTCTTCATTGCCAATTCAAGAAAGAAATTCAGATTACTAACTCAAAAACAGAAAATGTCTCATATCGAGAATATTTAACATTGAAAAAAATAAGGAAAAAAATAACTATTTTTAATAATATGTGGAAATCTCTGCTTTTACCTGAAGACGGTTGCGAGACCAGAAACTCATGTAGTAAAATTATGGAAAACAAAGCATATTTTTTCTAAATAAATCCACATTACAACCAAAAACGTTTGCGGCACCTCTCTTCTCTTGTTTTTAATATACATACTTTTCTCTCGTTGGAACCACTACAACCTCTTTCTTTTATATATATATATATAGAGAGAAATAGATAGATAGATAGATAGATATGTGTGTACATGTAATAAATTTTATACTTTCATGATGTGTTTGATGACTGAATATATTATTATTTATTTTACTCTTAATTGATGATGATTAATTAACTAACAATCTGTGTTAATTAACATTAAAGTAAATTGTTTTTGTGCTTCCACCAACAGAAATGCAGAACAAAAAATTGCAAATGATATTTTGGGCAAAGCCAGATTGTTGAAAGGTTACTACCCTGATGATAACTCTCTGTGTACTTTAAAGAACCAATACAAAAAATTAGATGTTTTCATGAATAAAGATTATTTTTCTTTGAAATCTAAAAGACTGCAACTGAAAGAGATGAAGAATAAATATTGTGTTCTGCCAAAATATCAAAAAAAAAAAAAGAAAACAGTTGACCAGGATATTTCTGAAAGATAACACTTTTAAGACAAGCAATCTTTGTTACAATATTGCTCAATAGCAAGACATAGCACATTAAAAGCAACAAATAAAATTTAACGTTCATTTATCTGTTTTTACTCTGACTTCCATAAATATTGCATCCACTCATCAGGTGACTTTATATTAAAATCATAAATTTAAAATTTATATTAAAATTATTACTTTCTTACTATATATATATATATATATATATATATAGAAAAAGTTGCAAATTAAAAAAATAATAATGTTTTTTATGAAAGTATTTATTTATTTATATATATTTGATATTTCAGAACGACCTCACTCTTTCTTCAGAAATAAGTGTTTTTAGAGGTTTGTTTACAAGTAGCGTCCATCGCGAGATGCGGACGTCACGTGATATGGAACACCACTGTGTTCAAATATTCTTAACGTAAATCTAACTGTAATAATATTTTAGATGTTGTTTTTTTTTAAACAACATCTAAAATATTATTACTTGTTCTTCTACTGTTCTCATTATTTTTGGTACAATATGTCACAGTTACAAAACCAGATATATGTAGACAAAGTTAAAAACAAATATAATAGTTTGGATGGGACCAGAAAACCAAAGTGGAACATCGTACGAGAAGCTCTAGCATAAGTGAGACAAGAAATAAAAAAAGTAGATGACAGATTAAATTCTTGAGATGATGAAAAAAGATAGCAAACAATTCCAAGGAATGGTACGGAATACAGAATATTTAACACAAACTTTAGGTACAAATGTAGGTAAGCAAAATATGAATGACTCAACAAAAAGTGTGCAAAGCTGGAAAGACTAAGCATAATAGATATATAGCAGGCATATATAAAAGAATTAAAAAAATAACAGGAAAAAAGATGTGATCATCAACAGGTTGCACAAAATCAAAAGAGGGAATTCTCATAATAGAAAAGAAAAACATACATCAAAGATGGAACAAAGATATTGGATGACATTTTCCTGAGGAATGAATGAAATTTGCCATATGCACAAATATAGAAGGACCTGAAATATTAAAATCTGAGATAAAATTAGCACTGATTAACAGGAACAAAGCAACAGGACCAGATAAAATTGTAATTGAGATGTTGGCAGCCTTAGATGATTTTGGCACCAACAAGATTATGGAAATAATAAATGAAATATATGACAGTGGTGACATACTGCAAGACATTAATAGATCTATCTTCATTGTGCCTCGAGAAGGCAGTACAAATGTGGAAGGATGTATACTTATGTTTCATTTTATAAGGTATGACACAAAGATTTATTTGAACTACTAGAAAAACTTTTTAAAAAACTAATGTTTGAATAATCTGGAATATCTGCTGGAAACAAACCACCTGCATATAGATAGAAAATGAATTGAGCAAATGCACAAAAACAGAAAGAAGCATGACAAGGATTCATTTTCTCACTGGATTTATTTTACATTGAAGCAATCCTAAGAAAACTAGAAGTCCTACCAGGATTTATTATTGATGAGCACAATCACTCATAAGGGTGTTAACAGACATCTAAAAATGTGACACAGAAATCTGACAGCACATTGGAATAGTGAAAGTTGCCTTCTAAAAGCTAAACAAAGTATTAAGAAACAGGAAAATTTTGTTAGAAATAGCAAAAAAGTGCAGAACTACTATATAATACCAATCCTTCTATATAAAAGTGAATGTTGGGTGATTTCTGCACAGATGAAGAGAAGACTTTAAGCAACAGAAATGTGATTCTATCAAAGGAAGCTGAGAATGCTATGAACAGAGTTTTAAGGAAAATAGAAACAAAAGGTACTTAGAATCAGAAAGAGACAATTGAAATTTCCTGGGCAAATAATGAGGAAAGAGTGCTTGGAGAATTTGATACTCACAGTATATACTGAAAACAAAGGAAAACCTACCTAATGAACTTGTGCAAATGGATGGCAGAACAGATAGTAGGAGGGATAGTAAGGGAGCAAACATTGCTCAGAGCTAAGGTGTGGAAAGCCATGATCGCCAATGTCTTGAAGTGACATAGCATATAAAAGAAGAATATATAAGAAGAAGAACCTTATAGAGATTTAAATTTGATATTTCAGAGGTACAAGTCTAAACCTAGGATGGATGGCTACTGTAATTTCAATAGATGCTTGTTGAATGTGAAGGATTTTCATGAACAGCCAATACTAACCCTAAGTAGGAATTAACACAGACTGCTCTTGTGAAGAAGTGCTGGGACCACCTCAGAAATAGGATTAGGCTTTTTGATATCAGCTATAGTTGCCAACCTGACATAGATTCATAGCATATTTTTACTACATCACGTGTGGTTCACTGTTGTTTGGTGAGCTAGAGGCATCACTTTGCCATTGGCTGTCCTCAGACAATTTCTCACTGAAAATAATCTTTTCACCAAGTTGAAGGTTTGCCTATAATAATAAATGGCACAGTATGTTGGATCTGTATTAGCCCAAATTTATTGTCTCCAACAGATAAATGTCACTGACCACTTGTCAGCAATGGAAAGAGCAGAGTGTGTAAGAGAACTTTCCTATTCCAGCCATTTTTAGGCCATTCTCTTATTTTGAAAGAGGAACTCCTTTTATTACTAGCACATTTCACCTTCTTGCTCATAGATGATTAGTCAACTCAAGGACCAATTAAAAGACTTCAGATATCCTGTTTTTTAAACCCTTTTTCTTGTGGTACTTGTGACTATCAATTGTCTCTGTCAAATATATTGCATTTCAAAAATACAATATATCTTCAACAATCTGTGTGGCTTTTTATTAGTAAAGGCAATATTTTTTTCTAGTTCTTATCCTTTATCTTAAATTACTCTCCTTTATCCTGCATCCACAATGTACTCATAAAAGGTATTAAAATCAGGAGTAAGGAGGGATGTCAAATCATGAGATGTAGACAATATTGCCATAGCTAAAGCAGGGTTAGTTTGTTTACTTAACAAGGAGAACCAGACTCTGTTATTCAGAGCTAGATTTAAAAAAAATGTCTGAGGTGATGAACATGACAGCTGAACTGTGTATGGAAGAATTTCAGAGCACCACAGAATAGCACATTGTCGGTGTTATATTGCTTGATGCACAATGTTTAACTACAAACGTAGGTATCTGTGAAGAATTTTGGAATTACTTTCAGAAGCCCTTCACTAGTGTGTCTGAGAAAATGCTGCTAAGTTTTGTTCTCTTTTCAGTGATCTTAAGGTTTCCAAAATGTTTCCCTAGGGTTTGGCAAATGTGCTAAATAAGAATAAACATGTTGAGAAATGCATAATTCATTTTCAGTCCATTACTGTGTTAAATACATTTTGGTTAAGATCTTAGCCAGTAAACTGCTGGGTTGTGTAATAGCTCTTGAACAGACTTGTGCTGTAAATTTATTATTGATGAGCACAATCTTAACAACATGAGATATGCAGGTGGCACTCATAAGGGTGTTAACAAACATCTAAAAATGTGACACAGAAATTTGGCAGCACATTGGAATAGTGAAAGATACCTTTCAAAAACAAAACAAAGTATTAAGAAACAGGAAAATTTTATTAGAAATAGTGAAAAGAATGCAGGAACTACTATATAATACTATATAATACCAATCCTTCTATATAAAAGTGAATGCACAGATAAAGAGAAAACTTTAAGCAACAGAAATATTGAATATTACTTGGTATATAATATGGTTCTGCTGGTCAATTCAGATAAGTTCAAGGCCCTGAATAGGTTGATCATTGTTTTTTGAAGCCTGACTTGGTTTTCTGGAGACATTTGCTGTATGATGTCCAAAGCAGTGGTAGAAACAAACTGATCAGAGCTTTTCATGATGTTCAGATTTATTCATCAAGCTTGTCCTCTTTTGCCCATGTTTTACATTCTTACATTAAAGTCTTCCCTGCACAGCTTGAGTAAACCTTCTCCTGTCAGATTTATAGTACCTGGTGCTACCACTCCATCTATACTGAAGATTCTCCACACTTATAACAACATTGGAAAGTCTACAATGAATTCTAATTATATGATGATAACAGGGACAAAAATGAACTGCAATGAAACTGTTGGTGTTCAAGTTGGATTCAGGGATATGCTGTCCTCTTCCAGTTAGGCCTGCCATGAAAAATACTTGGTGTCTGATTTGTTACTGCCCTCTAGTGTGAGAAGAATTGATAAGTAGTATGGAAAAACATCAAAGCTGCATTTAACTTGTGGTTTCAAAGGTGCTTTTTTTTTAATGCGGGGGGGAGGGGCGGAGACAGATATGCACTTCACAAACCTGTCTTCTTATCCTTTACCCACTATCTTTACGGTACTGCCTAAACTAACTGAGCTTGAAAGAGGCCTGTTTAAACTCCATTGGGCTTACTAGTCTCCTGTGGTGCCTCCCAAGATCTGGCGCCACCATAAATTCAAGGGCAGCCAATTCATCTGCATACCTTACAAGTTACATTTTCTAATATTGAAAGAATGACGAAAATGGCAGATTCTATTTTTTGGGGCTTTGAGGAGATGTTTGTCCCAAAATGAGTACCTCTTCTTTTATGAATGCAATTATGCTCTGAGGATCTTCTTCTCTCGAGTGAAAAGCTAGCCTCTCTGAAACTGGGCTGTTGTAAAGGAAGGTATTATATAAAGTGCTAGTCAGGGTGCTTGTGAGGTGCTCTGTTCAAGAGTAGAAATACCTTAATAATGATAATGCTGGCTGGTAATGCAAAGTATGTTCAGCATTAAAAAAAATTATTTTGCTGTGTAGTTGATTGTTTTATAAGAATGTGTCCATTAGAGTATTTGAGGAAACTCCATGCATGTTTTCTTTCAGTGTGTAGTCATACATTTGCTAAGAAGGCTTGTTGAAGGCTATATGGTTTGCATACTTCAGGTAGTTTTTATCATTTTTTTTTGTTTTGTAATCCAGTTCTGTCTCTAGCTTGTTGTTGTTAAGTTGTTACATTGCATGATACAAACAGGTACTCTATTTTTCTAAGCAGGATGTGAATGGTGATATGGATGACTAAAGTGAAGTAATTTGGTAGCAGTTTGTCCTTTTCTTTTCATCATTTAATCACTTGAGTGGCTTGATAAAATAAGGCTATCCAGCAGACTTTGGTGAACAGTGGGTAAAAGTAGTAAGACTATGTTGAGTGAAGGGGCTAATTTAGTGGGATATTGAGCTTAAAGGTTAAGAAAGGAATTTTGAACTTTTGAAAAGATGGTTTATCCTAACCCAAATTAAAAGTATTTATTTTTCAATCAGTTAAATTATTATTATATCATATTAGAGAGTTAGAGTAGAAATACATACTAGTGAACTATTGTACATATATTTCCCAATGTTTAACTCATTCCATTCTCCTCAAGAACTTGTAAATAGGGGTATAATTAGAATTCAGATACTTTCAAAATAGGTTGTTTTTTTTATTCAATTTGAAAGTATTAAAGCGAAGTAGTGTACAAAAGTAGGTTGAATTGAAAAGTTCTTTCTTACTGTTATCAATTATCAAATAAGTTAGTTTCCTTTGATGTTAGATAGTATCAGGTTTCTCCTTACCATTGTGGAATGTAGCAGCATGATTGTTGGCTTCAGTGTTCTGAGTAACTCTGTGTATGGTTATGCTATTAAGTGTCTCTTTAAATGATCAGCCTGCATAAAAGTGGAGTATATGGATGAATTTCTTGAATCTCTTTTTAAAGCTTTTTTTATTAACTGAATGAGTCATTGCTGGGTTTTAATTTCCAATGTGTTACAAGCTGCCAGAGTGAAAACTTCCATTAAGATTTTTATTAAGGAACTCTGCTGACACCAGTACCACAGGGGCAAGCAGAATAATTGGAATCAACTTTCATAATCATGTACTTCTCATAAAACCTCTTCTAATAAGAACTTATCAATCTTTGGCAGACATTTCATTTATTTGAAGCAATTATATTCTAAGACATCTATCTCATTTCTGAGTTATGTTATTTTTACTTGTTAAACATACCTACTCTCGTTTTTCATAAATGGACACTCCTTGCCTGTGTTTACTGAATTACTTTTTTTTGTCTTTCTTTTGTCTTTCTTCACAATGACATCGACAAATGTGAGGTGAACACTTTCTGTCTTAGCGATATAAGCTATCAGATTTTTTGTTGTGAGTCCTGAAGCTGAAGGTTATGAAGACATTTTATTATATGAAAATTAATATTAAATACATAACTATGTTGGGGAAGGATTCCTTGGGTCACCGTTTGAATAAAAAATATGAGAGAAAAGATTGTTGCATGTTCAAATAAAATTATATTTATTTATTTTAAATGTAGGAGACACAAATTTTAACTGTAATTGCTTATCATGAAATGAAAGTTAGAAAGATTTTTTCTTTGGCTGTAAGGAAATGAACATGAATAATAGTCTTTCAGTGAGGAAGAGAGAAAGTGGAGTTGAGAGATAAGATCAAAGGGAGTTTGCTTTGATGAGAAAGACAAGACGTCGAGGTTGACTCGTGTCTTTTTAATGCTGTCACACGTTCTGTCGAGTTGAATGAATATTTGGTTTTTACGCTGCAGAATCCTGTGTTTATTTACTGGCAGGAACTAATTTTTATTAAATTGAAAATTTGAAGTATGTTTGAAACCCGGAAGGCTGCGCGGAGCCCTTGTGAGGTGTGTTTAATTTTGTCATATGCTCCTTTGATTTGACGTTGTTCACTTTTCCACTTACTCTCTACAAATACATAAATAAATAAATTAAATATTGAAAACTGCCCCGGTTTGAGACTTGGAAGTAAGGAAGGTAACCCTGTGTTTTCTCCTCCAATAATTAAAAAAAAAAAATTTTAATTTATATAATCATTTTCAATTTTTGATATTGCATAACTATTTTGACTTATGAAGATAAGTAAAAACAACGTTACTAATAAAAATTATGACACGAAATTTTTTTTAAGGAAAACGATATTTTAAAATGAGATCAAGAAGATTTTACTGATGGAAGACCAGACGATAAATAATTGCTGGTAAAAATTAATCATACTTTTCCAATCGAAACAGCAATCAATGTAAGTTTTTTTTTCTCAGTCAATAATATAGACATAATGGACCCTGAATTAAATAAATGCATTGCTAAAAAAAAAATAAATAATTTAACTTAAATTATTTAAGTCAAAGAAAAAAGTAAGTAAAAATTTTTTAAAAATGGCTGGAAAACTTTGTTGTTGTTTTTGGTAAAGAAAAAATAGTAATTAATTCATTTGGATATAAGTTTGATTTTTGATTTATAATCATTATTTGTGATTATGATTGAAATAAAAATAGTTTTAATGATTCTTTGTTCTTTTCTTAAACATTTTTTAAAACGTGGGAATAATTTAAAAAAACAAAAAATACATTTTTGTAACAATTGACACTTAAAAAAAAATTAAACTTCATGGTTTAAGAATTTTGGTTTCAGGTTTCTGGTTTAATTTTTGATTCATCATGAATGGTTTTCATAAAAACTGACGAAGTACGAAAGTTGTCAAACGTGTTAAAAAAATCTAATGTTTTATAAAAATTTTATAAAACATTATAATTTTATAATAAAATTGAGGCATACATTTTTTTTCGATCATAAAACATTGGCAAGAAGAAAACTTATTTTTCCAACGCGTTTCGTTCCCTCAAAAAAATAGGTACTTAATGTAAAAATTCACTAAAAAATGAGGTTCTGGCTACAACATGAAAAAAATGCCCAAACTAAAACTTAATTACTTAATTAATCCTTTTCTTATTAAGAGGTAAGATCAAAGGATTTTTTATGTAGAATTTTTATCTTTCTTGGAATCTTGTAAACTTTGGTTAAAAATCTTGTTTTTTTTTTGGGGGGTGCCTCAACACGAGACCTTTAAAAAAAAAAAATCATAAATTTGGGAAATTTGAGCATTTTTGTTTTTTTATAGGGAAAAACAGTGATTTGGAAATTATTTCAAAATGAAAGGTTATATCTCACTATTTCAATAGTAAAATGATGTGACCTAGTTGCTAAACTAGTACTATGCTTAAATTCATACTATAATATTCCTTACATCAAAACAGCACATTCTTACTTACCATTTTTACTACAATACCACAATACTAAAATGTGACAGAAACATCAGTTAACCAGACAAAATTAATGCAGGACTGCATACAATAATTGAAACAATCACTCAACCATGTACCCATACAACAACAAATACAAAAGCATGTCTGAAAGATGAAAAGTGACCTGCATCTACAAGAGAACTAACATCTCTGTCACCTAACAGGGGAGAGAAGGGGAAATTAAACCAAAGAAAAAAGGGGAGAAAAATGAATGGGGCCAATGAGCATAAATCCCCTAAGTAAGTTAACTTAAGGGAAGAAGCTAAAACAAAAAATAAAACTAATCTACCCTATTTGGGGCTGGGTTTGCCATTGTTCAGTCCAAAGGACCAAAATTCTTATATGTGACTGACATCAAGATGCTTGACACAGACACAAAATACTCACCTACCTTTCATCAAATTCTGATGAAGAGAGTCACTACCTTCTCAATTTGATATTGACTACAACCTACTACTTAAAAAACAAGATTAGTTGGGAAGATGTAAACTCATTATCCTCATGGAATTCCTTCTGTTGTGTCATCCACACCTCTACTTGCATAACACTCAGTAAACAAAAGAGCAGTGTTTAGCCTTCATCAATGGTGGGTACCACATTGCTACAGACAGAACTAGCTTTGAGGATGAAAAACTTACCACACAGCATGCAAACCATGACGTCCTCAATTAATTTGCACAATGGACATACTACACTGCAGTGGTAGACGGTATGTTTGATGGTTTCCTCCCACTTACCACAGCATATGCAATCTGATGAAATTGCCAGTCCTGCTGAACAAAGCCTCTTGCCAACCCAGAGGGCTCTTTGAGCCATCAGCCAGTTAAGTGATGCCTCATCATTAGTGAGGCATTTAAACCCTGTCACTCAAGGCTATAGGAAGCAAAACTCCTACTTCATCAGTCCGATATTGTCTATCAATGACTGAATATCAGAGAGGCCATCTGTTGTCTATAAGAAGAACCTGAAAGTGTTTTGACATTCACAATAGAAGGAGCATTTGCTTCAGGGTAAAAAGCAAGCCTCCTCCTTGCATAAGGGCTCTCTCCTCATGAATGAGAAGTTCTTATGGGTGTCTTCCTTCCAGAATTTGCCATCACCATCTGATTTGTACTAAACCAAGTAGTATAGTAAACATAATTGGAAGCACAAAGTTTTGGTAAAGGAAAATGGAGTAGAAGCACAAACTTCTGCCCTCCCGTTTAATGAAAGATTCCTCGAGAACCACATATAAGCTCCAGCCTAAGCCTTCTCCCACATGTCTAACCAGTTCATTTCCAACTGGAGGTTGGGACCAAGTCAGATGCCAAGTATCTTGTAAGGCCTGTCCATCTGGAGGAAAAACTAGAGATGAGAAACTCTCTTCCACGTGCACAACTGCAAACCAGCAGGATTATCACAGTTGATCTTGGCCCCTGTCACTATTTTGTACCCTCTGCTTGTTATGGATATGTTGTCAATATAGGCAAAGTACCTGGCCGAGATGGTAGCACCAGGTAATGTGATTCCATATAAGACTGGATTCAACTTCACCTTATGAAAGAAAGGCTCCAACACAAGCATGTAGAGCAAAGGCAAGAACAGACAACCTTGATAAATGGAGCAAGACAATATGAAAGGTTCCAATCTTACTCCATACACTTTCACCAGCACATCAGGGATCACGTATGGCTAGCTAAGATCTTGGTCAAAATCTTTAACTCTGTGTTCAACATTGTTAAGGGCCGAAAATTCAATCTCATCCCCTCTGTTTTTGTCTTTGCATAGCAACTTGATCACACCCCTGGTGAAATGTTTAGGTATAGACCCTGCTTTATCCAGTTATTGAAATTCAGTTCCAGCAAGGGAACAAACACTGATGACTCCCTCAAGTACATTTTGTAAAGTAGACCATCAAATCCCAGAGCTTCATCCCAGCCAACAAGATTCAGCATTTCCCAGATCTAAGACTCTGTATGCAGTTCAGGAACCATATTAATTACCTCAGAAGACATTGTTTTTAACCTCGCCGTAACTACCAGAATCTGATCCTTGTTGAGAAGCAAGCTCTTTCCTAGTTATGGCTAATCCCCACTATCTCCAAACTGTATAGCCCATCTACTCTAGCTTTACATGCCATTTGCACTGCTAATCTATCTAAGTTGAGCCTTTGACTAAAGTCAGCAGCAAGCAACCTAATTCTAGATTTCAAAATAAACCACAATTTATTCCCAGCAACATCCCCATCAATTCCTGCTGTAGTGTTAGTAGTAGCTATTTTGGGAAATCATTCTCACCAAATAATCAGCCATCCTACCCTTAGGCCTAAATTTACAAGAAATGGGCAAGCCTATGATCACTGAATACTATAGAATGGAAACTTGGACAACCTAAGAACCTTATGTTTGTTTGGCTAACTAGAACTCAGTCAATGCAGCTAGATTGCACCACTTAAACCAAGCTGCTCTTATTAGTTCAAGTTCACATTACATCCCACAGGTACTCATTTTGATGCTTATCAACTTGTCGCTAGAGTTAAGAAATAGCATCACGTACTGGTTCCTAGTACAGGGTCTTTTCCCTATATGGTCTAAATTGGGGTTAGGGTTGGCATTCCAGTTGCTGCTAAAACAACCTGACAAGGTGTTGTCAAAGATGACTCGATCCACCAAAACAAACCAAATTGTTCCACATGGTCATTGGGTGCATAAACCCCAATGAGATGAAGTGCCTTATCCTTTATGGTAACATTCAGCACGCAAAGTCTGCCCACTGAATTTGTGAAAACAAGAACACATACCGCTGTCAGAGATTTGTTCACCAGCCAGGAAAAACTTCTTGAGTGGCCATCAAAATATTCAGAGAAGAGGTGAAACTTCCTCAACAGAATATTCTTGTTGTCACAAGCTGAAAACTGGGTCTCTTGTACACAACAGACATCCACCCTGAGGCTCTGGAGATTGTGAATGAGCCTTGCTCTGTGAGACTCCAAACCTCAGGCTCCGGGCATTCACACATGGCTGGGTAAAGGATACCAACGACCTGTTCCATTGAGCCTTGACCCATCACAGTCTTGATAATGCCATCAAGAGACAGGCTGCCAATATCCCAGGGGAATATAAGTTTTAAAGCTCTATACAGGGAAGGGTGAAAAAAAAAATGGGGAAGCTTCCCTGAACAAAATTGCTTCAAATGCTTCACATTGTTTTCATTGAAGTAGGTTAGTGGTAATAACATGTTGGAGGCTGCATTTGATTCCTCATTCATGCCCTAATATCTCCCATACAGCTTAGCCTAATGTCACTACTGTCAAAACTCTTTTTGCTTTAGGAAAGTTTTTAGGGTTTTCAAATTCCTTATTTTTACTTGTTTTATATTAAAGAGGCATTTTAAGTTCTTCATTTTTTTTTATGATTGTGATAGGACCTTTTCACTTGTTCCTGGGACATGTTCCAGATATCATCCCTGAATCCATGAGGAGGTTTGATGATTTTTTTTCTGTTTCTCAGTGGTGATGTTATTTTCTGGACCTCTTTGCCTTTTTCCACTGTCAATTTTTTTGGGGTGATTTGGAAGATGTTAGAATTGGAGTTGAAACAAGTGTGGTATTGGAAGGAGTAGAAGGGACTGTTGAAGGTAAAGGAGCTTTTTTCATGAGTTCATTTTGGAATGAGTAGGAGTTACAGACCTTAGTAGAAGTGGATTTAATAAACAATGGGAAAGATAGGGCAGAGGAAGAGGAGGCCTGCCACCTCCACCCACACTGGCAAAGATTTCTTTCCTGCAGTGTCTCAATTTTTTTGTTTCCTGGGCTGTAATTTTTTAAGTCTTTCATTTCTTAAGTATATGAAGCCAGGGCCTCACCCTTAGAACTAGTAGAGGGAGTGGGCCTCTTTGTGTGTTTATCCCTAGGACTGTGGCCTTGTTGTCTGGCACTTCCCTCTTCCCTACCAACAAC